TAATGCTGGCCACAATACATAATTTCAATATTTTTAGTAGCTACATTAAAAAAGTGAAAAGAGGGAATTCCCTGGTGGTCCAGTGGTTAGGACTCTTTGCTTTCAGCGCTTTCACTGCTGAGGGCTTGGGTTCAGTCCCTGGTCGGGGAACTAAGATCCTGCAAGCCACATAGCGCAGCCAATAAAAAATTAAGAAGAAACAGGTAAAATTAATTAATAATATATTTCACCCAAAATATTATTTCAACGTGTAATCAATATAAAAATATTAATGAGATTTTTACAAGTCTTTTTTTGGTACTAAGTCCTTGAAATCTGATACGTATTCACATCTCAGTCTGGACCAGCCCCATTTCAAATGCTCCATGGCCACCTGTGGTTTGTGGCTGCCAATTGGACAATTCGAGACTGAGGCAGATCTAGGTTCAAATCCTTGGGGAGAACAACTTTTCTCATCTGTGAAATAGGGGCATAGTATATATCTCCCATGTAAAGGTAAAGCTCTTGACACATCGTGGGCCTACAAAAAATGGGAGGTGAAAACTTTTAGAAGGTGGGGAGTGGAGACAGCAAGGAATGGAAACTTTGCAGGACGTGACAGAAGGTTTTGTCTTTTCTTTAAAGATGGGAAGGGCTTGGCATGTTTTGGGGCTACAGGGAAGTTGCCGGTAGAGAGAGAGAAATACAGAAGAGGGAATAAAGCAAAGCAGAAAGTTTGAGAAAAGTTGGGGAGATGGAATTGAAACATAGGTGGAGAGGTTAGCCTTAAACCTGAAACTGGACACTTTTTTCTCTAAAAACAAAGGAAAGGAAGGCAGGGTGGACAGGAGTAACGGCCGCTAACCATTCCTGAGAGCCTTTTGCGTGTAGGGCACTCTGATAAGTGCCTTATATGCATCCTCTCATCCAGCACCCCCAGCAACGCTGAAAGGTGGGTCCTGCTAGTGTTCCCATTTCACAGATGAGGAAGTTGAGTCTTTGAGAGAGTAACTTGCCTAAGGTCATAAAACCAGTAAAGCCAGCATTTGAACCCAGACATTCTGATGCCAGAGTCAAGATTTTTGTTTTGGGTAGAATGTTCCTTATTTTGCCTTTGTCTCATGTTTCATGATTAGATTCAGGGTATGCATTTCCAGCCAGAATACTACATATGTGATGTGTTCTCAGGCGTCGCATCAGAATTACGTGATGTCAATCCACCCCTCAGTGGTCACTCAGTCAAGATGTTGTCCAATTTCTTCAACACATAGTTAACTACTTTTTCCTTTACAGCTAGTAAGCAATCTGAGTGGAGACACTTTGAACCCATGCAAATATCCCGCTCCTCATATTTCCTTCTAAATTTAGCCTCCATTGGTGATTCTTGCCTGATCCATTTTACTATGGTGGTTGCAAAATGTTGATCCCAACTCCAGCACTCCCTCTGCATTCACCATTTGACACTCAGCATTCATTCTACTTTCTTTCTCTTCTCTCTCTCTCTCCCTTTCTCATTAATATGAACTCACTGATTCCTAATTTTTTCAATGGGTTATAATTTATGAATGTCCTTAATCATTTTGGTACCTAATATCCCAGCTTTGGCTGGTGGCAGCTCCTTCAAGCTGGCTCCTTTGTCCTATGAAATGCCTACTACTAATTTTTTTTTTAAAGTACTTTCTTACTTTTTGGCATAACAAAATGTTCCAGGCTGCTCATCGCATATTTGCAATGTACCAGCCCTGGAAGCAGCCATTTCTCTAATGAACCCTGATTCCTTTCAGAGGGGAACGGTATGAGAGTACAAGATCTCAGTGCAAAATATGCTTATTGCTAACGGGGTGTGTTGGATTTTAGGCCCTCTTAGCAGACAGAGCTGAATATATATACATGTGAATATACATACCTATACATACTTTAGAAATCATGAGTGCACACTGATATCTCCAATTCCAATCCACTTCCACGGGTTTTTTCTTGTTTCCCTCCATTAAATATTTGTATGTTTCTTCTTCCAGAGTGAGAACCCTGGCTCTTAACAACATCAACACATTTACTCATTTGCCCGATCATGTAATACACCTAAAATAGTTTCAGAATCATTTTGCCAATACAAGTACATAAACAAACCTACTAAAAAGAGTTCAGAATTTGTTTGTAGTTTTCTCCCTACCCCACCCCACCAGAGCCTAGCTTCTTAACCACTTCGTCCTAACGAGGTTGTTTGCTGGGAGGGAAGCAGGGGACTTGAGCAAAGGGAGGAGGTGTAAAATAGCCACGGAGAAGGAAGGGTGAGAGAACTTCCATTTCAGGAGCAGAGGATACATTTCTGAGGCTGGAGGAGACACGTGAGCGGTGGCCCCGGTTTGCTCAAGGACAGGTTTTCCTGCAGCCATCTTGGCAGCCTGGGTGTAGGAACGGAGAAGACAGATGGTCGGGATGGCTGGAAGGAGCCAAAGTTGGGGAACTACCAGGTGGATGTGGCAGAAGCACAGAGGGTGAGGAGTCCGGGGTGCTGGCAGGGAAGGGGTTGATGTAATGCACCCTGGAGTCTGGGCTGAATGGGGGAGGAAGTGAAGCCAAGAGAAAGAAAGGGGAGTGGCTGGAGTTTGAGCTCAGCTGAGAAGGGGTTTACTGAAGTGATTTCTGGTCACTGAATCCAACGGTTCAGGGGGCCGGGGGGAGAGATGGCTTGTGCCAAGCTTGGAGGGGCCGAGAGGGGAGGGGACTGTACTTAGAGCCACCAAAGTGGCTTTGTTTCCCCGAGGACCAGAGGCTGGGTGACAGGACCTAGCTGGTTCAGGCCCAAGAGGGAAGCTGTTCTAGGCACCTTACTGCAATCCATGATCAACAGCTGGGGGAAGTATTCAAACCAATGTGATTTTGTAAAAATGAAGGGGCCTTAGAGATCACTTCACCTGGACAGTCACTTCACTTCTCAGGTCAGAGAACGAAGGTCCAGAGCTGTTAAGCAACTGCACCCACCACCCCCGAGTCTGGGTGGGATTCAAACCCAGGTATTTCACATTTCAGTTGGTGGCTCTCTTTAACCCACGACAACGTTCTAAAGCTATAGCAGAGTGTCTTACTGACAGGCTTGCTTTGGTTCACTAGTCTGTTCCCACCCGGGCTTTAAGCACAGGAATGGAGTCTGACGCATCACTGCATTCTCCTTAGCTCCTAGGTCACTGCTGAGAGCACTCTTTCTGCCTGATGAATTTGGGGGAAGAGCCCATGTCTTAGGGTAGGAGTGCCAGCAGGAAGTTGGAATTTTCACATAGCATAATTTCTCTCTATAGTTGTGCACCACAACTGCTGAGCCTGTGCTCTAGAGCCTGTGAGCCACAACTACTGAGCCCATGTGCCACAGCTACTGAAGCCCGTGCGCCTAGAGCCCATGCTCCACAACAAGAGAAGCCACCCCAATGAGAAGCCCGCGCACCACGACGAAGACCACTCGCTGCAACTAGATAAAGCCGGCGCGCAGCAACGAAGACCCAGCTCAGCCAAAAATAAATAAATAAGTAAATAAATTTATTTTAAAAAGATATGTTAAAAAAAAAAAAGCACAATGAGAAATGATAGGCATATTGGCTTAGATGCTGTAGCACGTAAATGCCCTGCGGGGCACTTTCTCTTAATCTAAGCAGGCAAACTTGCCCCTCTTTTCTAAAGAAAACAAATAGCTACTACTTTACAGGACTGACTGTGAGCTGGGCAGGGCCCAACACTGAACTGCCATGGCCTTTTGGCAATTACTGGATGTGGAGGCTGTGCCTGGATTGCATAGGATTCTCTCCTTTTTGCCCCTTTGATATCTTAGCAGCCAAACCACAGCTCTCAGGAAGCTTTTCACTCTCAAAAAGCACTTAAAAAAAATCTGATCATGTATTCTAGTTTTTTATTCCAAAAATATCATACTGGGGTGCTTTTAATAAACTTCTTCCAAAATTATTTGGAGCAAAAACCAAGTATTTCTAAACAACTTTCAAACAAGGCTTGCTCTCAGTGGTTTGTTTTGGGACTTGTCCTTTAAAGATATCCTTTTAGGAATAAAAAGTGGGGTTTTGGCTGGGTGATTTCTAGATACTTAAAATGTTGACTAATAGTTTTAGGGTGTAAGATGTGGAATAGAAGAAGGCCATTTGCAAACTCCTATGTAAAGAGCATGGGCAGATATTCCCTTTAAAAACACATACACAGAGCTTCCCTGGTGGCGCAGTGGTTAAGAATCCACCTGCCAATGCAGGGGACACGGGTTCAAGCCCTGGTCTGGGAGGATCCCACATGCTGCGGAGCAACTAAGCCTGTGTGCCACAACTACTGAGCCTGCGCTCTAGAGCCCGTGAGTCACAACTACTAAGCCCACGTGCCACAACTACTGAAGCCCGCGCGCCTAGAGCCCATGCTCCGCAACAAGAGAAGGCACCACAGTGAGAAGCCCGCTCACCGCATGAAGAGGAGCCCCTGCTTGCCGCAACTAAAGAAAGCCCTCGTGCAGCAACGAAGACCCAACACAGCCAAAAATAAATAGATAAATAAATTAAAAACAAAACCAAAAAAACCCCACGCACACAATGTGTGTGGGGAGAGGTGGGCAGTATATGGGAACTCTCTGTACTATTTCCTCAATTTCTTTGTAAATCTAGAACTGTTCTCAAAATAAAGTCTATTAATTAAAAAAAAAAAAGACACAGACACTGGGATTATAATAAAATGTGTTGCCATTTGGCTCTAATCTCTAGTCATCTAGGTAGTGGTGGTGGCTGAAAGAGTTTAAAAGTGATGACAAAAAACATACTAGGAAACTTTCAATCCAATGTGAAAGGAAGCAGGTAAAGTCAAAACAGGAGGCCTGGCATGAACTGGAGTGACCCTTGTTTAACGTGACTCCTGCACGTTGACACGCAGGCTGTAGCCAGCAGATGGTGCTTGGTGCTTGCGAGGGATAGAAAATCTAAAATATCTATTCACACAAGATTATGCAGTTAACCAATCAAAGGGAACAATTTGTGGGAGAGAAAGAATTTTAATCAGTGGGTTAAAAAATTTACATAACCATGCTGAACATAATATATGCAACACTGACTTCCAGGTAGTACATGAGTTGTCGTCTCTATGTGGGAACACCTCACCCTGAGCAAACCTGATATACCCCAGTCAGACTAATCATTGAACACTAGAAAGCTCTGACACAAGACTTTTAACATAGTAAACTCCCAGAATACGTTTAAAACAGAGTTTGCACTTTTAAAATTGATTTGCACATAATTTTAGAGAGAATATCTATTGGTTAAACTGAGGTATATCTGTGTTGTAGTTTCACGAGCACACACTTCAATTTCTGATAAGGGAAGCTTTTGGATACATCACAATAAAATTTCATTTTATGAAAAAATAATTTCGTTAGTGAGGTATGCATCTTGAGAGCATGAACACAGTGTAAGCACCTGGGGTGAGGACAGTGCATGATGAACACACAACACAGAATACCACAAATGAACGTAATTCCCTAGCATACAAATCCCTTCGTTACAAAATGTGTCTAACCCAAAACACAGCAAGGAAGCGCCTGTGTGGCATGGCCCAGGCACCCTATGGGTAGGTGTATATGTGCAAGGATGGGTATACCACCGCAGTCGTACGGCCTCCCTTTGTGGCAGGGTATCTGTTCCTGGACCAGTTTGGCTTCGTATCTGGAGCTGGCTCTTGGCTGGGGTTTGTGTTTCTCTTTGGAGAGCATGATCCTGTAAATCCTGGCTTCTCTCTCTGTGCAAACAAGACATAAAAGGTGAACCACTTGATGCTGCAATTCCTGAAGTTATAGTTAGGGTTGGTGCTGGTTTTGCAGGAGTCAGTGAGAAGTATCTGCATTTCCCCTCAAATACGAAAGTAGCTGGCGTTGTTACAGGGCAGGCATCAATCAAGCATTTGTCCTAGTCCCTCTGATAGCCAAAGAAAGGTCCATGGGCAATATTTTAATTGCCCTGAGAAGTTTAGGGACTGCATTTTATAAGCTGTCTAGAAACATTATGCAAAGGAAGAGAAGAGCTTAATTTACAGGCTGGGAGACTGTCGCCTTTTTAAAACTCTGCTTATCTGACCTGCCACAGAATTTAAATGCCTACATCTGTTACAGAAACATTAAATTAGAAAGTTAAAGAAAATGAAGTAAAAGTAAAGGTTTGGATGGCATTCGTCTACTACATTGTGTTTAACTGAATCCCTGGTTACATGTTACAGCCTAGCTTGCATGTTTCAGTGGTAGGATATGGTTTTAGCCACCCACAGACATCCTGCAGTGGATGCTGTATGAGGAAAGAGGACAGTCAACACTTATCAGCGTGTCAGGACAGAATCCTCTTTGATTTGACTTTATCTACATCTCTCTTTTCACTGCTCTGTTTCTGTTATATCATGGTGGTTGGACTATCTACGTTGTTACCCCTCCTAGAGGATCACGGCCTTAAGGGAGGGCTCATGTCATACAGTCTTCAAAGGGCCCCACACATAGTAGGTCCTCCATAAAATACTGACGGGTAAATGAGAGCATCATCCTGAGAACTGCCAAGCAGCAGACTTGGGAAGACGGCAGGGACTTCACCTTGAGAGAATCATCCATTCTACACCTAGTGCACCTACAGTAATCCAGTGGTCCTCAATCTTTGCTCCACCCGGACACAGGTGAACAGCACTTTCCCACAGACACAGTCAGGGCTATTTGAAACCACAGCTCACCAGCTGTTTCTTTACTTCTTTTTCCTCCCTCTCAGGAAAGAATATGCAAGTTCAAAGGAGCAAGAGAGATGTTATTATAGGGATAAATAGGAATTCATTCTAACTTACTATTTTAAAAAAGCAAATCGTTCACAAACCTCGGTACCGAACGATCACTGTAACAGTGGATGTGAAACACCCCTCACAACTGATGGTGACACCCCGGTTTGTTAACACCTCCTAGGGTTCAGAAACACTGCATTCACCATCACTTTTTACCTGAAATGTTGCCATGGATTTACAAAATAATAGCTACCTAACAAATGTTCATTGAAATGAAACTAAATTCTCCGTGGCAAGCTTTCAGCCCTGGGTGGGCTTCCTCCATCCTGCAGCACTTTGTGGGCAATGCCCCTGGCTGGTCAGGTGTTTTGTAGCCTGAGACTACATCTAACTACATTAGATGTTCACCTCAGCAGAGCAAATCCAAGGAGGTGATACTGTGTGGATTGCAGATCACCACCCCTCCAAATCACATAATACATGTGAAAAGTAAATTAATTGCTGGCATATATATATACATGTATCAGGCGAAATACCTGCATTCTCTCTTTATTCTTAGTCAAAATCAAGGTGGTCATTTTTGATGGGCCCAGGGAGGTGCCTTTGTCTCTTCCATTTAACTAAAATAAATGAACACATTCTCACTAAATTTTCCACTTGGACAAGTGTGATTATATAAAACACACAGAGTAATTTTTATTCATGCATGTTGATTCATTATGATACTCTAACATGAAAAGAGAGGCAGAACACAAACAAATAGTAATTTGAAGAAAAGAAGGAAACTAATACTTATTGAATGCCTACCATATGCCAGGCATTTCACACACGGTTTCACATTGAATATTCTCAACAACCTTATGTGTAGATATTATTACCGCAACATTTTAGATGCAGCAACTGAGCCCCTGGATGGTTAAGTAACTCACGGAAAACTACATAGTGGGGATGGAATTTGAACTCAAGACAGACCCCATAGCTTGTGCTCTTGCCATTATTACACTAGACACCGAATGGCCCTCAATACTGAACAGAGATGGCTGTGCTTTGTGCGGGCTCCTCCGTGTAATGCTGTGGGAGCTTATTCTATCATCCCTAACCACAGGGCAGCATTCCACACGAGGAGGGCCTCATGCACCCTATTTGGCTACTATTGTACCCAAACCTATATATATATATATTTTTGTGGTATGTGGGCCTCTCACTGTTGTGGCCTCTCCCTTTGCAGAGCATAGGCTCCGGACACGCAGGCTCAGTGGCCATGGCTCACGGGCCCAGCCGCTCCGCGGCATGTGGGATCTTCCCAGACCGGGGCATGAACCCATGTCCCCTGCATCGGCAGGCGGACTCTCAACCACTGCGCCACCAGGGAAGCCCCAAACCTATTTTTATACATAAAAGAATCAAGGATTTTATAGCCACACTCCAAAGTACTAAAAGTTGGGAGAACTTGTCTCCTCTGTTTCCTACCGCATCCTACTCTGTATGTAGCTTCCTGCTTACTTGTTAAAATACCCAGCAGACCCTAAGGTCCCTGAGGCAGGGATAGTGTTTTGTTCAATGTTGCACTCCCAGCATCCAGCAGACAGCCTGGTGCGTAGTAGTTACACAATACAATTTGATGAATGGATGGATGGATGGTTAAAGCAGCCAGCTCTTATGTTTTGGGTATAAAATCACAATTCACCAATATGTGATATCAGACTTCAGTGGTGTCTAATCCAAAGCAGTGTCAGTGTCCCCACCAATTTTAATGTTCCCCTGGTACTGACAGTAAGAGTGACAGAGGGCTATTGCACTCTTCACCCTCTGAGAGAGACGTACTAATTGGAAAAATCAGAGAATCTGTGTGACAAAAAGTCAAGAATGGAACAGAATAGAGAGCCCAGAAATAAACTCATGCATATATAGTCAATTAATTTTCAACACAGGAGCCAAAAATAACCAGTGGGGGAAAAGACTGTATCCTTAATAAATGGTGCTAGGAAAACTAGATATCCACATGCGCAAAAGAATTCAACTGTACCCCGCCTTATACCATACACAAAAGTCAACCCAAAATGGATTAAAAATTTAAATTCAAGATCCCAAACTGTAAAACTTTTAGAAGAAAACATAGGGGGTAAAGTTCTTGACATTGGCAATGATTTTTTGGATTTGACATCAAAAGCAAAGACAATAAAAGCAAAAATAAACAAGTGAGACTAAAACTGAAAAGCTTCTGCACAACAAAGGAAACAATCAATAAAATGAAAAGATAACCTATCGAATGGGAGAAAATACTTGCAAACAATATAATCCAGCCTTAAAAAGGAAGGAAATCCTATCATTTGCAACAAAACATATGCACATGGGTGGAGGGCATTATGCTAAGTGAAATGAGCCAGACAAAGACAAATGCTGCACGGTATCACTTACATGTGGAATCTAAAAAAAAAATTCAAACTCATAGAAACAGAGAGTAGAATGGTGGTTGCCAGGTGCTTGGGATTGGGGAAAATAGGGAGAGGGTGGTAAAAGGATACAAACTTTCAGTTATAAAATGAATGAGGTGTGAAGATTACCATGTATAGAATGGTGCCTATAGCTGACAGTACTGTGTTGTATAATTTAAATTCGCTAACAGAGTAGGACTTAAGAGTTCTCAGCAAAAAAAAAAAAAAAAGTGAATATTTCTTTGAGGTGAAGGATGTGTTAATTAACTAAACGGTGACAATCCTTTCTCAATGTGTGTATATATATATATATATCAAATCATCATGTTGTAGGGCTTCCCTGGTGGCGCAGTGGTTGAGAGTCTGTCTGCCAATGCAGGGGACACGGGTTCGTGCCCTAGTCCGGGAAGATCCCACATGCCGCGGAGCGGCTGGGCCTGTGAGCCATGGCCGCTGAGCCTGCGCGTCCAGAGCCTGTGCTCCGCAACGGGAGAGGCCACAACAGTGAGAGGCCCGCATACAAAAAAAAAAAAAAAAAATCATCATGTTGTACACTTTAACCATATTACCAAAAAAAAGGTTTTTAATAAATTTTTCATGAGTGAGTGAAAAAAAAAAAGTCAAGCAAAAATACTACCTCATTCAACCTTGGTTTTTCATTTTTCATCATTGAAGAACTGGTATTCTCTGAATTTTTGAAAAAAGCAGGCTGCTTTTGCAGAGTAGAAGCAAACCCTGCCCCTTCCTAGAAGGATAGCAAAGAGAATATTTTGCAGTTGCTCTATTACAATTAATCAACTCATAATTGACCCAATTCACCCAAGAGTAAAACTCCCACCTCTGAAAGCATTTTCATCTTTAGAAAGCAGGGGGTATGGTGTGGGCGTGGCAGGCAGGAAGGAGGTATCCAAGTGTCCTTAGCCTGGACCAGGCCTGAATTCTCAGCCACCCGGAATCTCTGGTCTAGTTCTAGCCACCACTTTTCCATTACCATCTCCTTCCTCTGGAAATCCAGACTTGGTGGAAACCCAGACTTGCTATGGTAGAGTGTAGTGGAGGATTAGTGCGCTAAGCTGAAATCTGCTTAGGGATATCCAGAGGACCCATGGGAGAGTTCTGAAATCCAAATAGAAAACTTCCCCCTGCCCTATTTCCCATTCCCTTTTTGGTTTAGAGTAAGCCTTAACTCTTTGTCCTGCTCCCTCTGTAGAAAACTCTAACTGGACAGTAGAAGTAGGCAACAGAGCTTTCTTACTGGGGCATCTTCTGTTAACTTTGACTCCTGCATCAAATTACTTTTCTGATACTGTTTATTTCGCTGTTTCCTAGACTGAAGTGGCTTCCTTTTTTTCTTCTTATACATCTTCTTCTTCTGATTCAACTATTCCAGAAAGCACAGAGAAATTAGCCATTGAGGATTCCAGCGGTACGCCTACCCACACGTAGCACTCTTTTCACACAACACTCAAGACACAATGGCTAACCCAGTATGTGTGCCCTCACAGTGTTGAACTGTTGTTGGTTTGGAGAATCAAAAAACAGTTCAGTTACCTCATTACCAGAGACCCCTCCCCACTTAACACCGTCCAAATCCCCCTATTATAGATATACTGCCATAGGGGCACCTATACCAATAAACAAATATCTGTGATATAAAATTTGAAAGCACATTACTTATGGCAATATTGGCAGGTACAGATAATACTGATTATTAGATGTGTGCTTAATAGACACAGTTTGGTTGTTACCATAGGGTGGCTTTAATAATTAAGCAAATGAAGCTCAGGACTAATTTTCCAGGTACCTATGGTGTGGTGAAGCTTATACTGATGCTGCTGTAAATCCAGCTGAAGAAACTGTAGGGTCCAGTCTGATATGGCTGGTTCCTTCTGACACAGCCTTAAACTCACCCTATGATGAAGATACTTCTTAATGCAACTAGGTAATCAGGTGCACAGTGAACCACAACAAACATTTTGCTGTTTCTAAAGCTCTTATACCATCTATGTGAAAAACAAGTCTGTTAATTGATGGGGCAGAAGAAAAATTACTTAATATATGGAAATATAAAAAAACTACCTAAGACCATGTAAACAAACATTTTTTTAAAAGTATGGCTCATTTGTGGGACTCCCCTGGTCTGGGAAGGTCCTACATGCCGTGGAACAACTCAGCCCGTGTGCCACGACTACTGAGCCCGCGTGCCACAACTACTGAAGCCCGCGTGCCTAGAGCCCGTGCTGTACAATGAGAAGCCCGCACACTGCAACGAAGAGGAGCCCCCACTCGCCGCAACTAGAGAAAAGCCCCTGTGAAGCCAAAAATAAATAAATAAATTTATTTTTTAAAAAAAGTATGGGTCATTTTTTTAAAATTTTGTTTATATTTTATTTATTTATTTTTGGTTGCGTTGGGTCTTTGTTACTGCGTGTGCGCAGGCTTTCTCTAGTTGTGGCGAGCAGGGGCTACTCTTCATTGCGGTGCGCGGGCTTCTCATTACGGTGGCTTCTCTTGTTGTACAGCACGGGCTCTAGGCAGCGGGCTTCAGTAGTTGTGGCACACGGGCTCAGTAGTTGTGGCGCAGGGGTTTAGTTGCTCCCCAGCATATGGGATCTTCCCAGACCAGGGATCGAACCCGTGTCCCCTGCATTGGCAGGTAGATTCTTAACCACGGCGCCACCAGGGAAATTCTGGGTCATTTCTAACAACCTCTATCTCTTAACATGGGTTTCACTTTTAGTTAAACTTTTTTCCCCCACTTTTAATTAATTTTGGAATAAATATGGAGTTCTCGCATGTTTCCCCCCTAGATTTAAAAAAGAAAGTTATAAAGGACAAAATGAAAGACTCCAGGGCAGGGTAACCAGTTAGGATGTTACTGCTGTATTTTCTGCAGATCTTGGGATAGTTGAAAATTCTTCCAAATTATCCAGTAGTGTCATGCTTTCTTTAGGCTGCTACTTTCTGGGTGCAAGAGTCTCTATAATCTTACCTCATCTGCTGTGTTCAGTAGGTGAACAGGAAGACCATCTGAGAAGGAGCTGTCAGAACCACTGGTGCTGTTTCCAAAAGGAAAGGAAAAAGGGAGATACCTGTTATTAATGTCTAGGATGTAAAATGCCTAGCAGACCAGCAGCATGGGATTAGGACACCTAGTCTGCTATTTGCCCTCATTGCCTGTGTTTCAATTACTAAGAATTCTTGATAAGCATATCCATTCATTCATTCTGAACACCTACTGCATGCCAGGCAGTGCACAGGAAACAGAGATGAACCAAGTGGCAAAATAAACACTGGCCGGATGGGCAAAGCTGCCCTTGGCAGTGATTGTGAGAGACTGTAGGATTCTTAATGAGCGGCCCTGGAGAACAGCAGGGGACTGGGATTTGTCTGAAAGCAGGGGCTTTGTCTCGTTCATACCTATCTAGGCACTACCAGTTCAGAGAGCAAGGATCTGACTGGGTACTCTTCAAAAATGTGTTGAATATGCAAATAGATATATTTAATAACAAAGAATCTGTAGGTCAGAGATTAGGAGTATTACTTTTATCACCCCAATTCCCCCTTCAAAAGTTCTGGAGCACATCTAGATTGATCTAAAGTTCTCCCCACAAACTGTCCCCTCCCCTTTTCTTCAAAGGCTAGGAGGAATGAAGACACAGATAATCCATCCTTTCTTCCTTCATCATGTCCTTTGCTTCTGTGTCACATTATATTTTCCCCTATCCTGGGGTGTGGTTGGCTAGAACTGAAAGCTGCGCTCTATGACACGTCCTCCGTATATAAAAAAACGTCTTAGGCACAAAACTCAAATCTCCTGGGAAAAGACAGCACTTCAAACCACTCTTTTGCTCAGCACTTTCATTCTGCTCAGGCCCCCCCGCCCTCCCATCAGTGCACAATGAGGAGCCCCACAGCAAGGCAGCAGGAAGAAAGCCCTCTCTTCTCTGATCTAATTCCCAACTCCCTGTTCTCACAAGGCTTTTCCAGTCTGAGGAGTAGCCTTTGAGGCCACTAGATAATAGCCTCTGAAGTCCCTTTCGGAGGTAATAGAAAACTTTAACAAATGGGATAAAAAACATTAGATGCAGTATACCCCAGATGATGTCGAAAATCATGTATGTGCACACAGACAGAGCAAACTCAAACTGGGCTTGCACAGAAGTCTGCTTTTCTGTGTAACCGTGTGAATGGATAGGAGGAGCCCCATGGAGGCTGGTGCAGAGGTTGGCAGATTGGTTTCAATAACTCTTAACTAAATGCCTCAAAGTATCCCTGCTGAGCCTGTCAGAATGCAGTCAGGATGCTTCTGAGTTGGTCCCCCTGGGCCCTATATGTATGACTTGATATGCGGGAGACATTTTGTTTTTGAGGCTGAAAGTGAAGAGGGTTTGATGCAGTGGTCCTGGAGAGTTAGGCAAAGGATTCTGGGACAGTGGAAGAGGTGACGTGGTGAATGGGATACCCTACCTGGGCTGCTGGTCTGGTTTAAGGTTCCTAAAGAGACATTTGGGAGACTCAGCCAGCAGAACTACTTTAGGACCCAGAATCAATGTGCTACATAGAGTGGGTGGGCGAGCCATCCCCTTCCCACTTTCTACCACAGACTACAGTGCAGTCTCTAGCAGAAGGCCGCCATGCCCTGACCAGAACCTTCTGACTGGGGACAGCTGGGGCGGTAAGCTTGAGTAGCAGGTGTTCTGGTATACCTGTGAAATAACCACCCCCTACCTGGGGGCTTCTTAAAATAGCTGTGGAGACTATTAGAGTGGGCCCAAGATCCTACATACTAAATGAATTCAACAAATATTTATTGAGCTCTCCCTATGTGCCAGGTACTGTTCTAAGTAAATGAGATACAGAGATGAACAAAACAAAGATCTCTGACCTTGTGGAACGTACACCCTAGTAGGGGGAGACAGGCAATAAATAACAGACACAACAAAGACATAAGTGATATAGAATGACAAATGATACAGAAGGTGGTAAAATGCTATGGAAAAAAGCAGAGCATGTAAAGGGGTTGAGGAACGGCAGGAGGGTGAAGGCAGGAGGGTGAAGGCAGGGGAGCAAGCTGCAATATTAGAGTAATGAGGGTAGAGGCCACACTGAAAAAGCTGGCGCTTAAGCAAAGACTTGAAGGGGGTGAAGGAATTAGCATTGTGAATATCTGGGGGAGAGCAGTTGGAACTGCCAGTGCAAGGGCCCTGAGGTAGAGCGGGGAGGCCAGTGTAGCTGTAGCAGTGTGTGAGAGGTGAGGGTGGAGGTCACAGAGGTAGCAGATGGCTAGATCCTATAGCCTTGTAGGCCACTGTAGGGTCCTTGACTTTGTATCTGAGTGAAGTGGTGGAGCCACTGAGGTGTTTTTAAACAGAGGAATGACACGATCTGATTTACTTTAAAAGAATCACTCTCCTGGTTTTCTTTTGGCCGTGCTGGTCCCTTCCTAGTCTTATTCGCTGGCTCCTCATGGTCTCTTTAACCTCTTACAGCTATGGTACCCAGCTCAGACTCAGCCCTCTTCTCTACTCTACCTGCACTTACTCCCTTGGGATATCTGCCACACTTAAGGTTTAAATATCATCTATCCATGATGACTCTCTCCATCAGACCTCTCTACACTGAACTCCAGACTCATATATCCAACTGCTTATTCCATATCTCCGTTTAGACATCTACTAGACACCTCAAACTCAACATGCCCAGCACTAGATTGCTGATCTTCATCACCCCCCTAACCTTCTCCACCCACTTCATCTTCCCCAGCTCAGTCAAAGGCAACTCCATCCAACCAATTATAGAGTCATTCTCTCTTTCTCTCATGGCCGATATCCAATCCATAAGCAAATCTTAATGTGTGAACCTTCAAAATATATCTAGAATCCAACCAGCTCCCACACCCCCAAACACTGCTACACCCCTAAGCACCATCACCCTTCTTCTGTATTATTGCAAGAGCCTCCTAATGAGTGTCCTGCTTAGACCTTTCCTCTTTACAATCTCTTTTCCACATAGCAGCCCCAGTAAAACCTAAGTCAGGTCACGATACTTGTGTACCTAAAAACTTCCGAAGGCTTTCCATCTCCCTTGAAGTAAAAGACAAAGGCTTCACAATTGCCTGCGAGGCCCTACACAAACTGCCTGCCCATCTCCCTAATGCTTTCTAGAGCCTAGAAGAGAGGCTGTCAAAGATCAGGCACTCAATACAGAGTTGTTGAAGGAATGAAGTGCATTCAAGGGTGCCGTGATTTATTCAATATTTTGCACCTGAGGTTCAAAACCGACAAAACAACAGAGCAGGCAAGACAATTTAAAAAAAAAATATAGAACCCCTGTTTTTTCTTTGAAATGAAGTTTGTTACCTGGATTCAATGTCAGTCAAAGAGATGTCACTCCAGCTTCCTTCTAAATCCATATCTTGTCCAAGTTCTTTGAATTTCTTATGGATCTCCTGTTGTAAGAGCTCTTTAAGCTCTGCTAGACACTGCATGAACTATGGAAGTGAAAAAAAGAACTATTTTTGATTATTCATTTAGTTATTCATCAGATATTTACTAAGTATACGCTGAAAGGCACTTTATTTATTGCTGGGGACATAAAGATGAGTAAGCTGTAACCTCTGCTACTAAGGACGTGTTAACAATAAGTTACATGAGCTGTAAGAACAGACAGAAGCATTTTTAGGGCAGAATATCAGTGAACACTGCTTTAGTCACTTTTCCCTGGCTAAAGCCAATAATACACTTCTTGAACAATGCAAAGGTCAGATTTATTTTATTTTATTGAGTAGGGAAAGTTAGAATGGGGTTGTTCAGAATTTGGCCTACGGCAAATCTGATTTAACAGGCCCTATGTTGAGGTCAAAGTGTCTTTTAAGTATTTTTTAATTGAACAGTTGCATCCAGAGTGGTGCATGTCATGTGTTCCCAGGGCCGACATTTCAGAGGGGGTATGAGAGACGAGTTAGAGACCATGAGTACAGGCTCCCTTTTAAGAAGGCGAGTGGTGATGCGAAATAGAAATAATCTCCTGGAGCAACAAGGCTAAAGGAAGCCTTTGTTTGTATTTAGGATGGGGGCATCTTGAGAACATCTGCAGTTGAGGGGAAGAAGAAAAGGAAAAAACTGAGGGCACAGAAAAGAGAGGAGGTAACTGAGGCAAGACCTCAGGGAGGCCACAGGGGAGGTTGGCAAGTGCTTGAAGGACAGGGATAGTTTTGGAGAAGAGAAAGGACACCTGATTTTCTGAAATAGGAGGAAGGGAAGTAAGAATTGGTGCTGCCACAGCTAAGCCTAGAAGTGAGGGAGAGGTGTGCTGAACGGAAGCTGGCACCATGGCCTCTGTTCTTGGGGAAGTATGAGGTCTTATTGTTTGCTGAGACTGCAGGCTGGGGGCTTTCTTATTTTCTTTGACTAGAAAAACTTCAGAAAAATATTAAGAGGAAAATAAAGATTGCCTGTAATCCCACTGGGCTGACTTCGGACCCATGTGAAAACGATCACAGTAACATCACCATATTTCTCGAAACCCCATTTTTACCTTGGTTCTGTCAGGGTCACAGAAATCCAGAAGGGTGTCACAGACATGATAACCCAGGGATTTTAGATCCTCAGGGGTAAAGTGAGTGTCTCTCTTATTGCCTGCGGAAAAAATCCATAACACTTCTTATTAAATCTTAATGAGCAAATGCAAATCTAATTTATGAATATCTCGTTAGAAACACCACCTATGATTCTAGAATATTACGCTTCTGGACAGGGTCTCTCTCCTTCTAGTTTTAGTTTGATTCAGGAGAATCTCTGACAATGAACAAGTTTACAATCATGATGGCTACAGTTACTGAGGCTTTACTCTGTGGTAGGCACTATGTCAAGTGCTTTACATGCACTGCCTCATTAAGTAGTGCCTGTAACGCAGGTACTATTATTATTGCCAGTAAACGGAAATTCAAACCCAGACCTGCCTGATTTCCAGGGCCTGAGCAACGACTATGCCATACTGCCCCATCAGGTATTACGTTTCACACTCATATTTTGGGTTCTCAAATTTAACATTAAGGCACAGACAAGAAAATCTTCTAGGTCAATTATTTCCCCAACATTCAAGGAGATTTCATCTCCCCAGTGCTTTGCTTGGCGTCCCCTTGCCATGCTGGCTTATGATATACAAAAGAGAGCTTACCCAGTGTGGACCCACCAAAGGTAGACTCCATGGTATAGCTGTTTAGGATTCCCATCCGCCACATCACGACTCGTCCTGTTCCTTCTTTGCACTTTTGGACTTTAAAATTACAACTATGGAAAGAGAACTAAAGAGAAATCCAAGCCCTCTGTTAATTATAAATTGGCAAACGTTAAGATGTCTAAAATTCACTAATATGAATTAAAAAAATGGTTCCCTTGGGTTCTGTATGTTACTTCCTAACGTATGTTCCATAACATACTAATTCTAAGAGATGTTACTAGATGTAACAGAGGAAAAAAATGAGTTCTGTTGGTCAGGGAGAAGAAGGTTTAACAAGACCAAACAGGCCTCCTCTGCGGGACTTCTCAGAGCATTTAATATGTTGTTGTGAACGCTGACCCTCCAAAGGGGAGAGAGTATATTCTGATTTTCATTGCTCATGAACCCTTCCTTTCCTTCGCCACCTTCCCCAGGGACATTTTGCAGGACTAGGGTTCCTTGAGGGCCTGTTTGGGAATGCTGGCTTACTTTAGCATTCAAGGCACTAGCCAGCCTTTCTAAGGTTTATTTTCTACCCCTCCCCAACTTGAACCCTTGGGTCTAGCTGCATTTGCCCTCTTTCTATGAGCTGTGTGTGCCCTGCCCCTACAGCCTCTGCCTAGAGCTCTTCTGCTGCTCATCACTAACGTTTCTGGCTTGGAGTTCAATATCCTCCACTGTCTTTCATGACCGCCCCAATTCTCTTTCCTCACTTGGAGTCTGTAAACATATACTTTGCAACTATCCCAACCTATCCTGTCCTGCTGAAAATGCTTTAGAGTTGGAAGGCGTCTCACTACCAGTGATTTCTGAATTGTGCTCTCTGAAATCCAGAGGTTCTACCGAGGAGCCCCAGGGCGCTCCTGCTGCAAGAACTGAGGAGGACACAGGACGGCAGGGTGCTGAGCCCTCCCTCCGCCCACTTCAACTAGCGCAGCGCTGCTTTTCATTGTTTTAAACGCTAGGTTCCGGATGGGATTTCATGTGAAGAAAAGAGATTCCTGGAAAAAACAGGAAGATTGAAAAAAGAAAAGGAAAAAGAAAGGAAAGAAGGGAGGGAGGGATAAAGGGCAGAAGGAAAAAAGGCTTCCTTTTTCTTTCTTCTTTGTTTTTACAGATAAGAGTAGCAGAGACAAAATATTTGTCCTATATCTTTATGTGAGAAAATTTACACTGTCATTTAAATACTTTTCTGAATCCAGCCTTCTTCTTTCTTCTTTCCAATGACAGTTACTTTTTGTGAATTTATGATGTTGAAAACCAGCTTCTAAATCAATGCAGATACAACTGTCACAGAACTGTTACTCAGCCAACTATTAAAGACTTTTAAGTTGTTTTTATTAGCCCTTTAATATCTTGCAGTTATTTGTGATCTTGTATTACATAAACGTTTCTGTGGAGGCTCATATAATATTAGCATTTTGCTATTAGCAATATTAGCATTTGTCCTTCAGTCCCTTCTTCCACTGCCAAACACAGGATGAAAGATGATAGAGAATTCTACCTACTAACAGTTTGAACCTGTGCCTAGAGCAATTAAAAAAATCATCTTTATTGAGATATAATTCACATACCGTAAAATCCACACATTTAAAGCACACAATTCAGTGATTTAAAGATATTCAGAGTTGTGCGACCATTACCACAACCTAAGTTTAGAACATTTTCATCACCCCGAAAAGAAACCCAGTACCCCTCATTAGCAGTCACTCCCCATGCCATCCTCCCCACATCAGCCCTAGGCAATCATTAACCCACTTTCTGTCTCTATAGATTTGCCTCTTCTGAACATTTCATAGAATGGAATCATATATGTGGCTTTTTGTGTCTAGCTTCTTTTACTTAGCATAATGTTTTCAAGGTTCATCCGTGACCTAGCATACCAGTACTTAATTCTTCTTACTGCCAAATAACATTCCATTGTGTGGATATACTACATTTTACTTATCTTTTCATCGGACACAGAGTAATTCTTAAAGCCACACGTTTCTAAATTCTTGAAGTCCAGGTAGCTGGGATTTACCCAAGATAATGGAGAGATAAAAGTGGCAAATCAAACACTGCATATAGGAAGCAATGAGTTATCCTTCCCCCTTAGTCAATGGACAGAAAATTACCTTACATGCTTACCTTATCTGGTGCATTTTTGCTTAACATTAAAGGAAAGACTCGCTCGTGAAGCCAGAACTTGTGATCATTGTTATTACAGCCGTACAGGAAGATATTACTCTTACGGCTGTGGCCGTGGAAATCACAATACAAGAGAACCTCCCTTTCTTCAAGAAGTCTGTTGGGGGTGGGGGAGGCAAACAAAGAACTCAATGGATATACAGGGCATGAGCATGATCAAGGATCCTTTGGAGTCTCTTCCTTAAGGATGTCTGTTGATACTTTCCCCCCTAAGAAAATTTCAGCCCCTAATGACCTTCAAAGGACCCTATGCCCAACCTCAGCCCCTGCTGGAAACATGTCACCAGCACTCCTTGCCTCTGCCAGCCAGAGGAGCTTGATGGAAAAGGGGATGTGGAAAGGGGAGATGGGTAGGCCTTGCATAAGCTGACAAGAAAGAGGAGAAAATCTACTAAAGGAAAGCCCACTCTGGTGCAGAACTGTGGAAAAGAGAGAGAGGTAGAGAGGGGAAAGAACCAAAGAAAGCCTTGGTTTCTGACATTCCAGGGCTAGTTCCTTTAAGACTCAGCTCTTCTTTGTTTCCTGATTACCAGGACACCTCCAAACATCTTCTCCATGATGACGGTGGTGGTAACAATAATGCCCCACATTTACAATGTGCAGGGTACTGTGCTAAATAGATTACATGGATTATCTCATTGAATCCTCACAGTCACCACCCAGCACAGGTATTATCATCCCCCTTCTACAGATAAGAAAGCGGAAGCACAGAGAGGTTAAATCACTTCCAAGGTCACAGAACCACCCAGTAGTAAAACCAGGTCTCAAACCCAGGCCTGCCTGACTCCAATATATGTTCTTAGCCATTTTGCCTACCAACCCAACACAACTCTCAGCCATTCACACAGATATGGTGAGAAGGTGCGTGCGTTCACATATTCGTATCTGCTGCAGTTGCATGCCCAGCGAAATAGAAGCTCCCTTAAGGCGGGTGCTATTCTATCATAGGCTTCAACTGCTTTTATATATGCTTGGAAAATGCAGATTGATTTATTATTCTTTTTTTTTTTAAAAAAAATAAATTTATTTATTTAATTTTGGCTGCATTGGGTCTTTGTTGCTGCACGCGGGCTTTTCTAGTTGTGGCGAGCGGGGGCTGCTCTTTGTTGCGGTGATCAGGCTTCTCACTGCAGTGGCTTCTCTTGTGGAGCACGGGCTCTAGGCACATGGGCTTCAGTAGTTGTGGCTCACGGGCTCTAGAGCGCAGGCTCGCTCAGTAGTTGTGCCCCACGGCATGTGGGATCTTCCCGGACCAGGGCTCGAACCCGTGTCCCCTGCATTGGCAGGCGGACTCCCAACCACTGAGCCACCAGGGAAGTCCCATTATTATTCATTCTTCATAAGAGGCAATATAAGATGGTAATAAGGCATTCAGACTCTGCAACCAGAGAACTAGCTCTATGACTTTGGGCAAGTTTCTTAAACTTTCTGGGCCTTAATTTCCTCATCATATACAAGATGGGGATATTGATTGTGCCTACCTCACAGGGTGAATGTGAAGATTAAACGGGTCATGTGTAATACTGCCTGTCGTACATAAGCACTCACTAATTGTTAGGTACTACTATTATTATTACTGTTACACAAGTCTCATCATGAAGTCTCATCATCAAGAACTCCTTGACTTTTGACCTTTTCCATTCAATCATTTCACTTAGAAGTGAAATGCTTCTAGCTGAAATCTCGCATGTTCAGTTTCAACCCAAAGCTAAAACATGATTTAAAGTTTGAAAATGAACAAACCCAAGTGGCTGCAAAGAGAACGTTGAAGACTGTCCACAAAGCTATACCCGATTCCTGTGCCATGAGAAGAGATCTCATGCCATCGGATAGTGCTCACAGCGTTCAGAGTAAGACCAATAGATAAAGGCCTCACCTCTTGATCATGTTCCTGGTGTGCCAGATACAAGGAAAAGACTCCTTCAGAATAGTTTTATAATGCCTGTTCAAGTCCCTTCCAGCCAATGAACAACGATAATTCCCCACGATCACTCCGTCTGGATTTAACATGGGAACCACTTTGAAGATAAAGATATCTCTGAGGAGCTGGGCATCTGGGGAGTTGCTAAGGATGAAGTCCAAAAAGCCTTTCATAATCCAAGAGCCATTACTTTCCCCAGGGTGCACTCTGGCAGTCAAGACCACAGCTTTCTTTGCAGCTGCCTCTTGAGGTGTCCGGGCTGGGTTGGTGATGGTGAGCAGGTAGACGATGTTTCCTGCAAGGCTCCTGCATAAAGTTCGGAGTTTGCAGAACTGAGATTGGACGGGGCTGTTTGCCACTGACAGGAGGAAGCACTGCAAGTCAGTGTACGTATATGGGTAGAAGTGTGCAAAGAAGCAAGTGTCCTGGTCATGTGGAAACTGAATGGTCCATGTGAGACAGTAAAAGGGCTGCTGCCCATCATCCGTGTTGCTCCTATAGTACCTGATTTCATTTCCTTCTCTCCTCCAGCCAATGCTGTGGGTGCTGGCATCCAATTGGGAATACATGAGTGGCTTCATCCCTATAGTATAAAGGCTCTTGGGTTTCAGGAGGTTGACGATGGTGAAGCGATAGGTGACATCTTTTCTGGTGTTCTGAATTCGAAAATAAAACCACTGAGTGTGCTTATTTGTGTAGAGGTCAGTTCGCAAGGTGAGTTCATACTCATAGGTGTTTCTGTCATAGAGAACACAGAAGAATATCTCTATAACTCCACACGCCCCTCAAAAAACAAACATTGTTTCCCTCTGGTAAAAACAGATCTTATTACAACAGAAAAGCCTGCTACATCACATATTTATTTTCTTATTTCCCTAGTTTTCCAACTCACATATTAGGCTAGCAGGAACTTGGGGAAAGAAAGTTTATTCGGAGTGGGACAGGAAGAATCTCAAAACTTACACTGCTGCACAGCATTTCTGGGAGCACTGTGAGCTTCTTGGTATCTTTTGAGAGTATCCAATAGCAGTTTCTAACCACTTCAACACATTTCTCTTTAACACACTGAACAGTAGTGAAGCCAGAGCCCCATGTTGGCTGTTAGCTACATCCTGGACATCATCACTGTAGAGGAGACCTGTAAGCCCTCTGTGCTATTTTTATATCTGATCCTCACTTATTTGAAGATGAGGGGGCATCTCTGGAATGCTTTCACCTTGTTGAACTTGCAGAAGACAAAATACAAATGCCAAAAAGCATGGAAAGATATTCACCCACATGCATAATTAATGAAGTACAAATTAAAATAGGATGCCCTTTCCCCCTCCATCTCATCAACATTCCAGTGCTGCGAACCAGGCACTCTCACACACAGTTGATGGGGACTGAAATCACACTGGGAGGGCAAATGGGCAAAAACTAGCAGTACTGAAGTGATCAAACCCTGAACCAACAATTTTATTTCTAGAGTTTATCTCATAAAACCACAAATACTTAAAAATATAAATGCAGGGAATTCCCTGGTGGTCCAGTGGTTAGGACTCTGCGCTTCCACTGCAGGGAGCATGGATTCGATCCCTGGTCGGGGAGCTAAGATCCCGCAAGCTGCACAGTGCGACCAAAAAAAAAAAAAAATGCCTAAGGGTATTAATTCATTAAGCAAAATATTGTAAACATCTTAATTTCCCATCAGTTGGGGACAAGGTAAATAAGGTATGGAGTATCCATACAATAGGACAATAGGAATATCTGTGATACGGCCATAGAAAAATATTTAAATTTTATTAAGTGGAAAAAAGCAACATGTAAAACAGTATGTATACCACTTTCCTATTTTAAAAAATATATAATTTGTGTATATTACATATTATAGAGAGAGAGAGAGAAAATTAATGCATATACACAAAACTATACACAGTTGCTGCATCCAGGAGGTATGATTATAGAACTGCAACTTTTATGGTATTTTTATTGAGACTGTAAAAAATTAATAACCAGAAACCCAATTAAATAGAGTTGGGAGACCAGAAGAGGGAGCTCTCATGCCCTGCAATGATAGCAGAGCCCAACAGGAAGAAAAAAAGACTCCTTTCCCTTCCTGGCAAGGACTCAGCCAATGAAAAGCCACGGACCCTTTGTTTACTGGAGCCCTCCCAACTTCCTTCTCCTCTCAGTGAAAGTTTCTCCCTCTCTTGTAGTGTGGGACTTGCATGTGGCGTCCCCCGTGGTTGCAGACCCTGAATTGCAGTTCTCTGCCAATCCTGAATAAACGCATCTTTGCTGGAGAAATATCTGACAGTCTGTTTATTTCAGGTCAACAATGCAAATTTCAAACGCGCACTAATTTCTTTTAGAAGTAGAAAAAATAATTTAGATAAATTTTCATTCTGAAAAGTATGAGTCACAATGATTCCATTCTTCTTCATCGTCCTCACAATTACCTCTCATCACTTTTCTCTTTCACAAAAACACTCCTGATCGCTAACATGATTCCTGAAGACACTTCTCAGTCACTTCAGTCATCATCCCTTTGGGAAATTCCTCTGTTACTCACACTCTAGTAGCTTTCTGCAGGTTCCCACTCTCAAACCTTGATTCAAACAGTAGAGTATCATCTTCTGGTCCTTGCAACGTGACTGCCAGTTCCTTGATAATCCCTGGTTTGCCTCCCACTCTGGAACTGGTGAAATAGGAATCTTCGGTGGGCACTGCAGATGAGACAGACATACTCGGTCCAAGTTTCACTCAGAATCCATCTATCCAGCAAATATTAATTGAACCCCTCTGTGTTCAGCACTATTCTAGCTTAAGAACAATGAGTATTTAAATTTTCCATTGTCCTTGCTGAGACTTTTAATTTTTAAAAATGTATATATTTGAAGACCTTTAAGTAGTTTAGAGGACTTCCTTTTGCTACCTGGTTACCCTTGGCAACTCAAATACTGCTTATACCCATTTAAACTCTAATTTAAAAGGATGTTGGCAAAAAATTACATTCTAAGTGGAGCACCGGAAAACATTTGCAATCTTATTCTACAAGAACAAACAAAAAGCCAAATAGCACCTATTTATTAATTTAAAAAGAAGATAAAGGGGGGAAAAAAAAGAGAGAAAATAAAGTACACTCCATGTCATTGTTTGGTATATCATTCCAGATTTAAATATAACAGAAATAGAAGCATGAGAAGAACTGGCACGAGTGCAATTTGTCTAAGAGGGGAAACAAAATATCATAGTAATTAGTGAAAAGAAAAGGTTATGATTGAAACTTTTTCTTTAACATTAAGCTAAAACAAAAAAACATTACACAATTTATATTATTTTATTTAGGAAAATTTAGATTATAATCACAACCTCTTTCTAATCTTTGGAATAACAAAGAATCAATTGTTCATTTTTTTTTTTTTTTTTGGTGGGCTTACAATTTTTCAGACAAATTCAGTGAGAATGCCATGTGACATCTTTGATTTTTTGTAGTTACTTTTGCAAAACTCTTTTAGTCCCCACGGTTCTCCCAAGGATTCTCTTTGTACCACACTGTTCTTATCAGTTGTGTCCAGAAGAATCTATTTTGTCATCTTTTGTTGATGTTCTCTTTAACTGTTAACTGATAAAAAATTTCTAGATTCTCAGTTGTCAATGGCTTTGCAGTGGTGCAAGCAATTCTTTAACATTCATCAACTTCATACAATCCTGCATCTCTTGTAAGGATAATTTTACTATTAAAAATATTTATTTATTTATTTGGTTGCACTGGGTCTTAGTTGTGGCAGGCGGATTCCTTAGTTGCAGCTTGTGGGCTCCTTAGTTGTGGCTCACTGGCTCCATAGTTGAGGCACACAGGCTCCTTAGTTGTGGCATGCGAACTCTCAGTTGCGGCATGCACGTGGGATCTAGTTCCCTGACCAGGGATCGAACTCAGCCCCCCTGCACTGGGAGCACGGAGTCTTAACTACTATGCCACCAGGGAAGTCCCAGGATAATTTCAGCTTGCAATTAATTTTTTACTGTACTTGCATTATGTTGTCAGATGTTAACAATATCCACCATCAACAAGTGACTGATACCAGCAAAGATGCTGACCATCGGGCAGGATAGATACGAGAATTAAACAAATAGAAACATGTAGGGGTCTGATTTTATAAGTAGTCAGTTCATTAGTAAGTATATTCACATTATGATGACTTTTGCTTCTATACGCAACCTTGCCACTGTGGAGACTTAGAGAATAAATATTTGGATAATAAATGAAAGCAAAGGAGAAAGCGAGCATAAAAAGGAAGTAAAAACAGAAGCAGCAGCAGGAGTACAAGTAAATCCATTTAAGAGTTGGGGACCCATGTTATTCGATCTCTTCATGGAACCACAATCAAAGTACAGATCGGCAACCAGATGTCATTAATATAGGAATTTCAATATTTTCTTTAGTCTTTAAGGTAACTTAAAAACGATCCAGGGGCTTCCCTGATGGTGCAGTGGTTGGGAATCCACCTGCCAATGCAGGGGATACGGGTTCGAACCCTGGTCCGGGAGGATCCCGCATGCCGTGGAGCAACTAAGCCCATGCGCCACATCTACTGAGCCCGCGAGCCACAGCGACTGAAGCCTGCATGTCTAGGGCTTGTGCTCCGCAACGGGAGAGGCCACCGCAATGAGAAGCCTGCGCACCGCAACAAAGAGTAGCCTCTGCTCACCGCAACTAGAGAAAGCCTGCACACAGCAACGAAGACACAACAGAGCCAAAAGTAAATAAAATAAAATAAATTTTAAAAAACAAAACAAAAAAAATGATCCAACTCATAGCCCACAGTAACATTTTTCAATAACAAAACCTCTTTCTTATTTTCCCCTCAATATCCTTACAGCAAGTGGTTGCTCTAGGTCTCCTAAGCTAACAAACTCCCAGATTCTCCCCAGAGCCCCATCTTCTCAGTTTTCTGTTTCTTCATTCCTCCAACAGTGTGGGCTCAACTCTCCTTGATGAATCCAAAGGACAAGAAGATCAAGACAGCTGCCACAAATGTGTAGTAACAGGACAATAAGGACAATTCACAAAAGCTGCCATATCAGGAGAATGATCTCTCAATCCCAGGGTTTCCTCCTTTGTAGAAATATGTCTGGATAGAACAGATGAAGCGGTGGCGATTCATGGTCATCTGATTTATTGAAAATGACTACAGCAAAGTCAACGAGAGGTGAAACAGGCTTATAATATCCAAGAATTTCTTGAGGTTGCAGGAGCAGTATATCCCCTACTATTTATAACCCAAGTCTACTGACTTATGATCTGAGTTTAAAGTCTCCCAAGCTCCTCCTCAGACATTCCATAAGGTGGAGCTAGGTAGACTATGAGTTGCTTCACCTTTTCTACCTCACCAGCTTTTGCCAAAATAGTAACGAGAGCTCAAAATCAAGGCAACTGGGAGCGGAGCATGTGTAACCACATCTCAGATGGGTCCTCTCTGCTAAAACTGGCTCATTTTATTTTTCTAGTTGTAGGAATGTAAACACATTGCAGTCCCTCCTTCCTATTACAGTTCTTTTCTGTAAAAACCTCCCCTGATTTCACTGACTTAACACATCTCATTTCTACTAATTATACTTGGTACATGTTCCTCCTCCAATAAAATAGATTTCTTTTCTGATCATTACTATCTATTAGCTTACTTCTCTTTAACATGATATATCTTTTCTGCCTTAAAGGTTACTATTACCATCTGTTTCACATCCTCCCCAGCACTTGTTATTGTCTGTATTGCTGTTATAGCTGTTTTAGTGGGCTTGAAGTTGATTCATCCTTTCCATAAATATCCTTTACTAAACGGAGGAAATTCTCTCCTATTTCTAGTTTTCAGAATGTTCTTATCATGAAAGGCCTGATTTTGTCAAATGCTTTTTCTGCATTGATTGAGATGACTGTGTTTTTTTTTCCCCTTTGTTCTATTAATGTGGTGTGTCACATCAATTTTCTTATGTTGAACCACCCTTGGATTCCTGGAACAAATCTCCCTTGGTCATGGTATATAATCCTTTCCATATGCTGTTGAATTTGGTTTGCTGGTATTTGGTTGAGGATTTTTGCATTTATGTTCATGAGGAACACCAATCTATAGTTTTCTTGTGATGTCTTTGTCTGGCTTCGAATACTGGCTTCATAAGAAGAGCTGGGAAGTGTTTCCTCCTCCTCCTCTGTTTTCAAAGTTTTGAAGCATTAGTGCTATTTCATCTTTAAATGTTTGGTACAATTCAAACAAATCCTGTTAAGCCATCTGGCCCAGGGACTTCTTTGCAGGAAGATTTAAAATTACTAATTCAATTTCTTTGTCATAATCTGAATTTCTTCCTCAATCAGTTTTGATATGTTTTTCTAGCAATTTCTCCTGTTCATCTATGTTGTTTAATTTGCTGACATAAAGTCATTGATAGCATTACCTTGTAATTGTTTTGATTTCTGTAGAGTTGACGCTTGTGTCCCCTTGCATTCCAGGTTTCTATAATTTGTGTCTCCTCTCCTTTTTTCTTGGTTGATCTGGCTAAAGTTCTGTCAATTTTGTTAATGTTTCCAAAGGACCAACTTTTGGTTTGATTTTCTGTATTACTTTTCTATTTCACTGATTTCTGTTTTTGTTTTATTTTGTTTTGTTTTTGCGGTACACGGGCCTCTCACTGCTGTGGCCTCTCCCGTTGCGGAGCACAGGCTCCGGACGCACAGGCTCAGCGCCATGGCCCATGGGCCCAGCCAATCCGCGGCACGTGGGATCCTCCCGGACCGGGGCACGAACCCGTGTCCCCTGCATCGGTAGGCGGACTCTCAACCACTGCACCACCAGGGAAGCCCTGATTTCTGTTTTTATCTTTATTATTTCCTTCCTTCTGCTCACTTTGGATGTAGTTTGCTCTTATTTTTCTAACTTATTAAGGTGGAAGCTTATGTAATTGATTTGAGATCTTTCTTCCTTTTAAATACAGGCATTTAAAGCCATAAATTTACCTTGCAGTGCTTTGGCTGCATCTCGTAAATTTTGATATGTTGTTTTATTTTCACTCAGTTCAAAATATTTTTGAACTCTTATGATTTCTTTAACCCATGGGTTACTTAGGAATGTGTTGTTCAATTTGCAAATATTTGTAGATTTCCCAGATTTCATTCTGTTGTTGATTTCTAATTTAATTTTACTGTGATCAGACAATATATCTTGTACGACTTCAATCCTTTTAAATGTATTAAGACTCGCTTTACAACCTAGTATATGGTATATCCTGGGGAATTTACCACGTGCCCTTGAAAAGAATGTGTATTTTGTTGTTGGGTACAATGTCCTGAACAGTTTTATAAAAGACAGGAATTCTACCACTAGGATGCCTGCAAATTAATGCAGGAAACCACAGAGTAAATGACAGTCATATGCACATACTACAAAATACTCACTATGGTTCAGGAGGTGGAGAAAAGAAGAGCAAATTCCCCAAAGATCCAACATCTGATTTTCAGGAAGGGGGATAACAAGGAAGAAGCTATAAAAAGGACTCAGAACTATTAAGAAAACATAATAACATTTTAAAAAAATGATTGAAAATTTAAAACTGATTGGTCATGAATTTCAGGGCTCCCACTCAGGTTGGTCTGGAAAAGACAGTTTCTTTATCACTAAAATATGACTTTTTGAAAATCACTTTTATTATAGAAAATATATTTTTTGTAATTTGGTCATGATTAATCACTCACTGTTCAGTGTGATGACAATACCTGAATCTAACTGATAGACAACTGTGCCTTTTTCTTCTCCTACAATTTCTGGTGCCTTTTCATTTCCTGTAGGTTGATAGAAATATTCTGGTTGAGGTGGAACCCACTCTGAAAGAAGACATTAAAAAGTACAAAATAAGAAATAATACAAAAAAAAAAAAGAAATAATACAAAAGGCACTTTATTAGAACTGACATGAAATCATAATAATGATTATTCAAATGGCTAGTAGGGTGGAATCAAACCAAATTCCCACCCTAAGTTTCCAGTGTGTTTGTAAATTAATTATGTCTTGCTTCTTTCTATAAAGACTATGGAGAAATTTTTAACAAAAAGCATATACAACAGAAGTATCAACTTTACTTTTTTAGATTTTTTTGATGTGGACCATTTTAAAAGTCTTTATTGAATTTGTTACAATATTGCTTCTGTTTTATGTTTTTTGGGTTTTTTTGCCACTAGGCATGTGGGATATTAGCTCTCCGACCAGGGATCAAATCCACACCCCCAGCATTGGAAGGTGAAGTCTTAACCACTGGACCGTCAGGGAAGCCCCAGAAGTATAAACTTTAAATAGAAGACCTAAAAATAAGGCAGAAAGGTCAATATAGTTGTTCCATCAACTCTTCAAAATTTGTCCCTGAGCTCCTGGTCAGGAAAATATGCTCAGCTACATATTTTTTATTAATATAGAGGAATAAGTATATCAGTTTCTTCAGAGGAAACAAGGTTTTTTCATTAACACTCAATTCTGAAAGATTTCTCATATGACACTTGGGTGACTTCTCAATATCATTTTAAGTACAGTAGCCAGTGATGAAAGCCAAGGGCATATATAAAGACACAACTTAAATTCAACAGTACATCAAAAGAATCACACACCATGATCAGTGGGATTTACTCCAGGGATGCAAGGATGGTTCAACATTTGCAAATCAGTCAATGTGATACATCACATTAACAAAAGGAAGGATAAAAATCATATGATTATTTCCATACATGAAGAAAAAGCATCTGACAAAATTCAACATCCATTTATGACAAAAAATCTCAACAAAATGGGTATAGAGGGACTACCTCAACATAATAAAAGCCACATATGTCAAGCCCACAGCTAACACCATACTCAACAGTGAAAAGCTGAAAGCTTTTCCTCTAAGATCAGGAACACGACAAGGATGCCTACTCCCACCACTTTATTCAACATAGTACTGGAAGTCCTAGCCAGAGCAATTAGGCAAGAAAAAGAAATAAAAGGTATTCAAATTGGAAAGGAAGAACTAAAACTGCGACTGACATATATTATATACAGAAAACCCTAAAGACTCTATCAAAAAACTGTTGGACCTAATAACAAATTCAGTAAAGTTGCAAAATACAAAATCAATACACAAAAATCGGTGCATTTCTATACACTAATAATGAACTCTCAGAGAGAAATTAAGAAAACATTCCCATTTACCATTGCATCAAAAAGAGTAAAATACCTAGGAATAAATTTAAACAAGAACTATAAGACATTAATGAATGATATTGAAGAAGACACAAATAAATGGAAAGATACTCTGTGCTCAAGGTTGGAAGAACCAATATTATTAAAATGTCCATACTACCCAAAGCAATTTACAGATTCAATGCAGTCCCTATCAAAATTCCAGCGGCATTTTTCACAAAAGTAAAACAAACAATCCCAAATTTTATATGGAACCATTAAAGATCCCCAATAGCCAAAGCAACCTTGACAAAGAAGAACAAAGTTAGAGTCACCATGCTCCCTGATTTCAAACTCTATTACAAAGCTATAGTTATTAAAGCAATATGATATCTGCATAAAAAGATACATAGATCAATGGAACAGAACAGAGAGCCCAGGGAATTCCCTGGTGGTCCAGTGGTTAGGATTCTGTGCTTCCACTGCAGGGGGCACTGGTTTGATCCCTGGTCAGGGAACTAAGATCCCGCATGCCATGTGGCACGGCAAAAATAAAATAAAATAAAGAATAGAGAACCCAGAAATAAACCCATGCATCTATGGTCAATTAATTTATGACAAAGAAGGCAGGAATATACAATGGGGAAAGGACAGTCTCGCCAATAAATGGTGTTGGGAAAACTGGACAGCCATATGCAAAAGAATAAAACTGGGCCACTATCTTATACCACACACAAAAATTAATTCAAAATGCATTAATGACTTGAATGTAAGACCTGAAACCATAATACTTCTAGAAGAAAACACAGGCAGTAAGCTCCTTGACACAGGTCTTGGTGATGAGTTTTTGAATCTGACTACAAAAGCAAAAGCAACAAAAGTGTAAAAAAGTGGAACTAAATCAAACTAAAAAGCTTCTGCACAGCAAAGTAAACCATCAGCAAAATGAAAAGGCAGCCCTTTATTTTTTTAATTTGGCCATACCACATGGCATGCAGGATCCTAGTTCCCCAACTAGGCATCGAACCCAGGCCCTGGCAGTGAAAGTGCAGAGTCCTAACCACTACACCACCAGGAAATTCCCAAAACGCAACTTTCTGAATGAGAGAAAATATTTGCAAATCATATATCTGATAAGGGGCTAACATCCAAAATATATAAAGAACTCATACAACTTAACAGCAAAAAAACAATCCAATTGAAAAATGGGGGCTTCCCTGGTGGCGCAGTGGTTAAGAATCTGCCTGCCAATGCAGGGGACACAGGTTTGAGCCCTGGTCCAGGAAGATCCCACATGCTGTGGAGCAACTAAGCCTGTGTGTCACAACTACTGAGCCTGCACTCCAGAGCCTGTGAGCCACAACTACTGAGCCCGCGTGCCTAGAGCCTGTGCTCCGCAACAAGAGAAGTCACTGCAATGAGAAGCCCGCACACCACAACAAAGAGTAGCCCCCCGCTCACCGCAACTAGAGAAAGCCCACACACAGCAATGAAGCCCCAATGCAGCCAAACAAACAAACAAAAAACCCAAAAAACCCCACTTCTACAGGGTAGGAACAGATGACCTTAAGACTTCTCAGCTATTGTGCCAACTCATAATGTGCCCCCCAACAATTTCCAAACACCCTAAGGGCAGTTCTGTCCCCAGTTAAGACACTGAGCCAATCCTTGTATCTTCAGTTTCATCTCTTTTCTTTCATGTTGAAGGCTTCATGGTTACCCAAACATGTCTTGTTCTTTTTCTGTTTCCTCTAACTGGAATACTTTGCTTTGATCCTTTCAATTGGATCACTTCTAACTCATCCTTCAGATTTCAGCTTCCGTGTCAACTTCTCTTGGAAACCCTCACTGAACTTCCAGGTTGGGGTTAAGTGTTCCCAGAGGGACCAAGTGCTATGCAATTGCCTGGTTCTATCTTTAACTTCCTCACTAGTCTGTGAGCTCTGAGTGTCTCCATTTGCTCATCACTATATCTCTAATACCAAGCACTATACTTAGCATATGGTAGATGCTTAATGAATATACAATGAATGAATATTATAAGAGGAAAGTGAGAAAATAAGAAACACCCAGTTGTTTATCAGCAGTCTTAAGCAGAGACATGAGTGTTCCAGCAATCATAAAAGTCCCCACTTCTGAAAATCCTTCATAAAATGAAGGCTAAAGATTGTACTTGCATCAAAAACTCAAAGATATGGCCAACAATGTCATAAAAAAAAGTCTCCACCATTCCCACAAGAAACTCCAATCAACTCAAAATATGATTAAAAAATAGTAGGGCTGGGCTTCCCTGGTGGCGCAGTGGTTGGGAGTCCGCCTGCCGATGCAGGGGACACGGGTTCGTGCCCCGGTCTGAGAGGATCCCATGTGCTGTGGAGCGGCTGGGCCCATGAGCCGTGGCCGCTGGGCCTGCGCCGCGGCGGGAGGGGCCACAGCGGTGGGAGGTCCGCGTACCGCAAAAAAAAAAAAAAGAAAAAAAAAATAGTAGGGCTTCCCTGGTGGTGCAGTGGTTGAGAGTCTGCCTGCCGATCCATGGGACACGGGTTCGTGCCCCGGTCTGGGAAGATCCCACATGCCGCGGAGTGGCTGGGCCTGTGAGCCATGGCCGCTGAGCCTGCACGTCCGGAGCCTGTGCTCCGCAACGGGAGAGGCCACAACAGTGAGAGGCCCGCGTACCACAAAAAAAAAAAAAAAAAGTAAACGTTTCTGAGAATCTGAAAAAGAATATATATATATATATATATATATATATATATATATATACATATATATAACACAATCACTGGGCTATACATTTGAAACATGACCTTATAAGTCAATTAAACTTCAATAAAATTTTTTTAAAAATGTTTTCTTCTTAGGACCTGCGCAGAAGGGGAGAGGCAGCACATTGAAAGGAGGGCCTCTGGAGTGTGGAGTTCCAGAGTTTCGAGGGAAAATAAATCTTCAGCTCAGAGAGGTCTAGCACTTTCCTCAGTGACTCATGATCAGCAAGTGGCAGATGGAACCAGGTTTCCTGACTTTCACTGTAGTGGGTCACTGTGTCTGAGAGTGATTAGAAGAAATCAAGCAAGTGAACAAAGAAAATTACCTACTGGGTCAATGAAAACCAACTTCTTTCCTCAAAGGAGTGGTTTATGTTTTGAAAAGTACCTTAGGGGGGAGACCTTCAAGATGGCAGAGGAGTAAGACGTGGAGATCACCTTCCTCCCCACAAATACATAAGAAATATATCTACATGTGGAACAGCTCCTAGAGAACTCCTACTGAAGGCTGGCAGAAGACCTCAGACTTCCCAAAAGCCGTGTGACTGAGAGGGTCTTGGTGCTCTGGCCGGGTGTCAGGCCTGTGCCCCTGAGGTGGGAGAGCCAACTTCAGGACATTGGTCCAGCAGAGACCTCCCAGCTCCATGTAATATCAAATGGCGAAACCTCTCCCAGAGATCTCCATCTCAATGCTAAGATCCAGCTCCACTCAATAACCAGCAAGCTACAGTGCTGGACACCCTATGCCAAACAACTAGCAAGACAGGAACACAACCCCACCCATTACCAGAGAGGCTGCCTAAAATCATAATAAGGTCACAGACACCTCAAAACACACCACCGGATGCAGTCCTGCC